GTTTTTGAAAGATTTTGACATGCGGGCGGAACGATGTGCGCGTGTGCGCTTGTTACGTTTTTTTTTTTTTTTTTTTTTTTTTTTTTTTTTTTTTTTTTTTTTTTTCTCTCTCGCATAAAGATTCGCGAAAACGGATTATTTCTGATAAGCCAATGTGCGTGCATGTTCTTTTGCAGAGGATGGCGGGTTGAGTAAAGTGTGAGGAAGTCTCAGGCGGGAGCCCCCTCCCTATGGGGCCCGCAGATCATGTTGGTAATCCGAGCGGGTCATCGGAACCCTGTAACTGTCGTCACTTTTGGGCTCCCCAGGCCTGAAAATGGAGGAAGTCTCAGGCGGGAGCCTCGTCTGTGAGTGAATTGGGAGGAAGTCTCAGGCGGGAGCTCCCTCCCTATGGGGCCCGCAGATTATGTTGGTAATCCGAGCGGGTCATCGGAACCCTGTAACTGTCGTCACTTTTGGGCTCCTCAAGCCTGAATATGGAGGAAGTCTCAGGCGGGAGCCTCGTCTGTGAGTGAATTCTGAGGAAGGCTCAGCGGGAGCCCCCTCCCTATGGGGCCCGCAGATCATGTTGGTAATCCGAGCGGGTCATCGGAACCCTGTAACTGTCGTCACTTTTGGGCTCGTCAAGCCTGAATTTGGAGGAAGTCTCTGGCGGGAGCCTCGTCTTTGAGTGAATTGTGAAGAAGTCTCAGGCGGGAGCCCCCTCCCTATGGGGCCCGCAGATCATGTTGGTAATCCGAGCGGGTCATCGGAACCCTGTAACTGTCGTCACTTTTGGGCTCCTCAAGCCTGAATATGGAGGAAGTCTCAGGCGGGAGCCTCGTCTGTGAGTGAACTGCGAGGAAGTCTCAGGCGGGAGCCCCTCCCTATGGGGCCCGCAGATCATGTTGGTAATCCGAGCGGGTCATCGGAACCCTGTAACTGTCGTCACTTTTGGGCTCGTCAAGCCTGAATTTGGAGGAAGTCTCTGGCGGGAGCCTCGTCTTTGAGTGAATTGTGAAGAAGTCTCAGGCGGGAGCCCCCTCCCTATGGGGCCCGCAGATCATGTTGGTAATCCGAGCGGGTCATCGGAACCCTGTAACTGTCGTCACTTTTGGGCTCCTCAAGCCTGAATATGGAGGAAGTCTCAGGCGGGAGCCTCGTCTGTGAGTGAACTGCGAGGAAGTCTCAGGCGGGAGCCCCCTCCCTATGGGGCCCGCAGATCATGTTGGTAATCCGAGCAGGTCATCCAAAACCTGTAACTGTCGTCAATGTTGGGTTCTCGCGCTGCCAGAACGCAGTTCCCAGGCCACACTTTGGATGCAACAAGGAAGTTTTTGGGCTCCTCAGGTCGCCGAGGTGCTGCGACAGGGCGCCGAAGGCGCCGACGACGACGGCCAGGCCGAGGCGCGGGCGCGGAGCTTGCTGATGTTCAGGCCCAGCGAAAGGGAGTTCACATGGCAGAGCTCGGGGGCGCACAGCGTGCGCCGCTCGGGGTTCACCCTGACGCACGCGTCCTACCTGACCTCCACGCTGTCGCAGGGCCAGACGCTGCGCAAGGGCGTCACCATCGACTGCGCGAGAGACGAGGACGCTGGCCGCACGGGCATGTCGGACGAGCAGTGGTGGCTGCACCTCTACGTCATGTTCTCCCGCGCCACGTGCATGCGGAACATGCTGATCCTGCGGCCGCCGCCGCGAGAGTTCCTGGAGTGCGGGCCGCCGGCGTCCCTGCGGAAGGCGCTCCTGGAGTTCGACAAGAGAGCGGTTTTGTCCAGGGCGGAGGCGAAGCAGCTCGCGGCAGAGCTGGGCTTCGTGCTGCCTTCCGCCTGAGCGCGGCTGCGCCTCGCTCGAAGCCCGCGGGGTTGTCCCAACGGCTTGGTCTTGCGCGCCAACGGCTCGCGGGGTTGTCCCGACAGCCTGGCCCGCGGGGTTGTCCCAACGGCTGCGCGACGTGACCTGTAGAGAACGCGCCTGTGCTGGCCGTGGCGGCGACGGCGCCGAGGAACATCGACATGCGCGCTCATGCAACAGGAAGGGGAGGAGGTGGCGGGGCGCGGAACAAACAGGGGGGCGAGGATGGGGACAACGTAAGGAGTGGAAGGGGGGCCCGCGCCAAGGCGAGAGGAAATATACGCAGAAGAGACAGCCAGGACGCCTCACCAACCACGAGGACGACGGTGATGGCTTTTTCCAGATTCGCCCAGAGGATTCTTATGTGGGGTTCTTCCGTCGGAGTAATTTTTTTTTCTCTCTCGCATAAAGGTTCGCGAAAACGGATTATTTCTGATAAGCCAATGTGCGCGCATGTTCTTTTGCAGAGGATGGCGGGGGGTCGATACAGGCTTGGCTGGGATGGTATAAAATGGACGATGTGGCAGAATCATACGTATGTTGTAAGTGGTGCAACCTGTTCGCTGCAATCTACGCAGTAAATACAATTTATGTGGTGCAATCTACGCAATGCAACCTGTGCGGTGCAGTTTGACTTTTACCCATGATGTGGCACATGCCACGCTCTTGCAAACATCCCACCCACCCACCCGCAACTTGGTTTGCAAAACCTCTTAAGACCGACTGCGACGACACCGACGACATCGACTACGACGACACCGACGACGTCTCCGACGACTTCGGCGACGACAACGACGCCGACGCCGACGACGACGAAGACGACGACGACGCCGACGAAGACGACGACGAGGGATCAGGAAAGACGACGACGGCGATAAAGACGACAACGACGACAACGACTAGGGAGGAGGGAGGACGGCGACGACGCGAACGACGAATAAGGAGGAAGGACGGCGACGCCGACGACGACAACGACGAAATAGGAGGGAAGACGACGACGACAACGACGACGACGGCGACGAAATAGGAGGGACAACGACGAGACGCCGACGACGCACGACGACGACGAGGGAGGAGGAGGAAGGACGACCACGGCGACAACGACGACGGAAACGACCACGACGCCAAAGAGGACGACGACGACGACGAACACGAGGAAAGACAGAGGACGACGTAGGCGACGACGATGACGACGACGCGGGAGGAGGGAGGACGGCGACGACGACGACGACGACGACGACGCAAGAGCGCGTGCGCACGCTTTTGTTGAAAATCCGTGTTGCGAAACCGTTTGTTGTAGGTTTTTTGGACACACGATTTTGAAATCCTTCCGGAACCGATGGGTTTTGATGGTTTTCGGCATACGCGCGCGACGACGCGCGCATCTGCACTTCGTCGTCGTTTTTTGCAGAGGATTCTCGCGACGGCACATGCGCAAGGGCGTTCGACGGATTTCGACATGCGCGCGCGAAGCCCGTTTAATGGCATTTTGTGAAAATTTGGGAAAACCTATGGTTTTCTTATGATTTCGCAAGAGCTCGCGCAGAATTTGTTTTAGCAAATCATTGTTGCGAAACCCTGTGTTTGTGTATGTTTTTTGGAAACTCGATTGCGAAATCCTTCCGGCACCGAAGGTTTTTGAAGGATTTTGGCATGCGCGCGCGACGACGCGCGCGTGTGCACTTCGTCATTTTTTCGCAAAGGATTCGTGAACAAAAATGTGATGTTAGAACAAACAATGTCACCGCATAGTTTTTTCACAAGGGACCCTCAGGGGGGGGATACCGGTTGGCATTTGACATTGTGATTTCATATTTAGGATGGACATGTGGTCAGAAACATATATGATTTACATACCCGAAAAAAGGGGGACCGACAACGCCGGGGGGGGGGGAAGAGTTTAGTTTATTTTAGAAAGGAGAAGGAAGTGGTACATTGTATCAATTGCAGTCTATGTGGTGTAAGTTAGGTGACAGCGGCGACGGGCGGCGACGGCGACAACAAGACCAGCGACCGCCAGCCAGGCCCAGAATCAACGGCGACGGACTGCGGCGACGTGCGGTGGCTGCGGCAACAAGCGCGCCAGACCGCCAGCCATGCCCAGACGACGGGCGGCGACGAGGCTGCGACGGGGCGGCGACGGCGATAACACATCCGCCAGACCGCCAGCCAAGCCCACTTCCGTATACCACAAGTAAGAACTCGTGAGTACAATCGCTGTTTGGGAATTTGTGTACAAAGAGATGCACGTATTATGTACAGTCATACGAACACACACATATATACATACAAATGTGTGTGTGTGTGTGCGTACGTATACATACATGCATCTTTGCATGCATGTGAGTTCATATTCGCATACAGCTACATCTACAATGATATGTATGTTTAAAGACCAGGGGACTCCCCTTTGGAAACACGGGTTCCTCTGATCGTGAAGTGTCAAAACAGTATAACCCGTTGGTCAATTCCATGGGCCCGTGAATGTACGTGTTGGATTTGCAGGATTGAAAGTTGGCTTTTCGCTTGAGAATCGGGTTGCATATATTCAATATGATGTGAAGATGTTTCGTAATCTTGCCCAACATGCGGTCGCCGATCTAGTGTGGACCAACATATTCATTCTTTCTTAATCGAGGAGAAGCAGACTGCCTACGAGTTGTCCCACAGAGTTGAAAGTTGAGCAGTGATGTGCAACTAGCGATCATTGTCAAGATCGGAGGTGGCATCTTTCCAGTGATGTGGGAAGAGCTAATTCCTGATCGCCGAAATCATGTCGTAGTAAACGATTACCGTGGAGAAGAGAGAGAGAGAGAGAGAGAGAGAGAGAGAGAGAGAGGAGGAGAGGGACGGGGCGGGTGACCAGGGGAGGGAGGATCGGTGGGGCAAAGTATGCAGCAGACAGGAAACGGAACGACGCGGAAAATGAGGGAAGGGAAGGAGGGAGAGAGGCTGGCAGGGAGAGGGAGGAGGGATCTTCGGGGCCCCTGTCGTCCACGCTTTTTGTGTGCTCCAGAGAAGGCAGGACCACCTGACGACGAAGATGGAGGCACCCTTTCCTTCTGTCCGCCGTGCATGCACGCTGCAGACCTGTACTGGTGTATTGGTGCATGGGGAGGGAGGGAGACAGGCAGGCAGGCAGGCCGCCGACCGAGCGCGCCGCCCAGGAGTGCGCCTTCGTGCCTGGGTCGGCCCGCGCCCGCCGAGCGGAGGGGGCCGCCGGGCGGGGCCCTCCACGGCTCCCCTCCTCTTCTCCCTCCTCGCCTCCTCCTCGCCTTTTCCCCTCCCCTCTGTCTTCCTCTTCCCTCCCCTCCCTTTTCCTCGCGTTTCCCTCGCCTCGCCTCCCCTCCCCTCCCTCCTCCCTCCTCCTTCCTCCTCCCTTCATGCCCCCTCCCCTTCCCTCTCCTCCTCTCCCGCGTGTCCGGACCTCCCCTCGCCTCGCCTTCTCTCCCCTTCCCCCCTTCCGCATCCTCCCTTCTGTCGCCTTCTCTCCCCTTCCCCCTCGCCTCGCCTTCTCTCCCCTTCCCCCTCGCCTCGCCTTCTCTCCCCTTCCCCTCGCCTCGCCTCCTTTCCCCTTCCCCTTCCCCTTCCCCTCCCCCCCGTATCCTCTCTCTCTCTTCCCCTCCTGAACGACCGGGCTGCTGCCCAAGCCAGGCGTGCGGCCACAGCGGCGGATCACGACTCGGATGGCGGTTGAGCTCTGGGGTGTGTGGGGTGGGCGCCTGGTCGGTGGGCCCACGAGGGGATGGAACCTCTGCGTGGGAGCAACAAGGTCTCCTTCGGAGGGCGCCCATCCCCGCCCTCCCCCCCTTCTCCCTCCCCTTGCTCCGCCCCTCTATGGGCACTGAGCCTTCCCTGCCCCTCTCTCCAGACCTCCCTCTCCCTTTCCTGTGCTGAACCGCTGCTTTGTCCTAGAGGGGGGCTTCCTGGTCGTCGTGGCCCTCGTCGTGGTCAGGGCTGCGGGGGGATTGTACCCTGGCGTTGCTTCGCAGCCGTTCCGAAAGCGAGTCCGAGTCTTCTTCCCTCCCCTCCTTCCTCCATCCTCCCCTCCTTTCTTCTCGTCTCTCCTCATATTTCAACTCACTTGCAACACCGCTTCCAAGATGTGTTCCGTGACACGTTGATCTTGCCGTTGCAGTGCTGTGTTCATGCTGGTGTCTGACTCGAAGAGGAAGCTCCCGAGTTGTTTCATGGTGAACAGTTGCATCCTCTCCCCTCCCCTCCCTTGGGTGCCGAGTTTCACATCATCGTGCGCTACGGATTGTAATCCGACCGCCTACATGCGTCAAGGTCAATCGCAATCAGAACCAGAAGAGTGAGCTCTGGTAAGGTGGGGCGTGGTTGCCGAGTCGACCACGACCTCCCCTCCCTTCGCCTGCCCTCCCCTCCTCTCCCTCGCCTCCCCTCCTCGCGCCTCCCCTCCCCTCCTCTCCCCTCGCCTGCCCTCGCCTCCCCTCGCATCTGCGCATCCCCTCACCTCCCCGCCCCCTTCCCCTCGCCTGCCCGCAACTCGGGTCCGAGACGCTGCCGATCAAAAGCGGGTGCGTGCCCTCCACCTGGACGTGCGTTGCTTGCAGCAGCACTCTGCCAGGGCCTGGGCCGCTGCACGCCGCCGCAAGGCCTGCATGGCCTTTGGGGGGCCGCCTGCCTTTCCACTCTCCGCGGCCGCCGCCCGTCTTCCCTCCCTTCTCTTGTGCTGTCGTAAGTTGCTGCACGGTGACTCAGTGCCCACCCGACCGACCTGTGCGAGCGTCAGGTCTGCGACACAAGCAATGTGTGTGTACACCATCTATCATCTCACCCGCTGCCCTGCCGCTCTCTTCGCATCAGAGATACAGCCTTTATCGTCCTCAATTAACGGATCTCGGGTTGGGTAGTCTCTCTGACTTTTCTCTCTCTCACACACTCCCCGCCCCTCCTCTCCCTCCCTCCTCCTGAAGCTGCCCAGCACGAGTGCTTCCCCCCCTCTCTCCCCCGATGCTGTCCGGTGGTGCCGCCGCCTGTCTGTGGCGTTGCAACCTTTGACGCAGCGTATTCCACGTGCTGCATGCTCGTGTGTAGCGTGCGCTCATCGATAGGAACGTTTTCAGCCCCTCAAACAGATGATGCTCTCGCTGCAGTGGTGGCCACATTTCAACTTCGGCGCTGTGCTCACCTCGTTCAGCTTTGCGCTCTCGCCCCAGCGCGGGCTACGTTTCTGGATCCGCTTCCTGTCTCGTCGCTGCCGTCGCCCTCATTTCCCTCCTCCGCCTTCCCCTGGTCTTCCTGGTCCTACTGTTCCACCTGCTCCTCCTGCTCCTCCTGCTCCAACATGCTGTTTCTGCTTCCTCATACTTCCGCTCTTCCTCCTGTTCATGCTCCTGCTCATCCGCCTCCTCCTCATCCTCCGCCTCCTGCGCCTCCTCCGCCTCTTCTCCCCCTCTCCCCCCGACTCCTCGAAGTTCTCCTGCTCCTCCTCCTCCTCCTCCGCCTCCTTTTCCTCCTCCTCCTCCTCGTCCTCCTCCTCCTCCATCCCATCTCTCCTTCCTCTTCTTCTTCCTCCTCCTCCTCCTCCTCCTCCTCCTTTTCCGACCCCCTGTCACCACTGCGCGGGAGGCAGACGCGCCTGCCATGGAGGGTGGCGCGGAGGCCCTGGCGGCGCTGCAGGTCCCGCAGGTCCAGGGGTGTAGGAGGGGCCTGCCTTCCACCGCGAGAGATAGTGTTGGCACACGTCTGTATGTATGTGTGTATGTATGCATGCATGCATGTATGTATGTATACTTGTATGCAATGTATGTATGTATGTATGTATGTATGTATGTATGTATGTATGTATGTATGTATGTATGTATGTATGTATGTATTAATGTAATGTATGTATGTATGTATGTATGAATGTATGTATGTATGTTTGTATGCATGTATGTATGTACTGTAATGTAATGTAATGTAATGTAATGTGATGTAATGTAATGTAATGTAATGTAATATAATGTGATGTGATGTGCTGTAATGTAATGTAATGTAATGTATGTATGTATGTATGTATGTGTGCATGTATGTATGTATGTATGTTTGTACGCATGTATGTAGGTATGTATACCTGTATGTATAAATGTATGTATGTATGTATGCATGCATGCATGCATGCATGCATGTATGTATGTATGTATGTTTGTATTTATGTATGTATGCATGCATGCATGTATGTATGTATGCATGCATGCATGCATGTATGTGTGTATGTAGGTCTGCCTGTCTGTCTGTCTGTCTGTCTGTCTGTATGCATGCATGCATGCATGCATGCACGCGTGCATGTATATATGTATGTATGTATGCATGTACATATGTATGTATGCATGCATGCATGCATGTATGTATGTATGTATGTGTGTGTGTATGTATGTATGTATGTATGTATGTATGTATGTATGTATGTATGTATGTATGGATGTATGTATGTATGTATGTATGTATGCATGTATGTATGTATGTATGTATGTATGTATGTATGTATGTATGTATGTAGGTCGGTATGCCTGTCTGTCTGTCTGTGTGCATGCATGCATGTATGTATGTATGCATGCATGCATGCATGCATGCATGTATGTATGTATGCATGCATGTATCTTTTCATGCATGCATGCATGTATGTATGTATGCATATATGCATGCATGTATGCATGCATGTATGTATGTATGCATGTATGTATGCATGTTATATATTTGCATACTTGACCCCTCCCCAGGGACGGCCCGGACGCCTTTTCGGATGTCTCGGCGGCCCCTTGGACGCCCTTGGAAAAGGTCAGCTGGCCCTTCGGGGCCTCCCAGGGCACCTTGCCGGGCCTTGCGAGCAGACTCAAAGCGATCAGAGGGGTCATCGGAGAGGCGCAAGAGAGACCCAAGACAGCACAAGAGCGCTCCAACAGGAACGTCGATGGTGCGAAGACGGCCCACGAGGCCTCCGAGAGGCCGTTCAGAGAGCCCCGAGGAAGCAAAAATCGTCCCAGGCCCAGGGACAACGTACAGTTTTAGCATATCCGCTCTTTGGGTCTTTGCAACGTCCAAGACGGCCCGATGGGCCCCCGATTTCGCCCCAAGACGGCCCAATAGGCCCCCCAGAGGGTTTGACGATGGCCCAAAAGGGCCCCAAGACTGCCCCAAAGAGCCCCGAGACTGGCCACAAGATGCCAAAGGATGCCCCCAGAAGGCTCCCAAGAGAGACCCACGAAAGCCATGGGAGACCTCAGGGAGGCCATTGGAGGCTCTCAAGAGGGCCCTAGATGGCTTCAGAAGACCTCCAGAGGGCCCCAGCTCCCCAAGACGGCCCAAGAAGGCCCCAGGACGGCCCAAGAGGTCCCCAGGACGGCCCAAAAGAGTACCAAAAACGCCCAGACGGCGTTCTCCGTGCGCTCGCTGCGCTCACGCCAGCCCGCCTGTGTTTCCCGTGCCTCGATCACTCTCTCTCTCTCTCTCTCTCTCTCTCCCTTCCCCCCTTTTGCCCTCTTCGTCGACCTCCACGTTCGTGGCATCCGATGGCCATCCTCATTCGCCCGCTCCTTACTCTGGACCTTCTCCCCGTTTCTCCCCCCTCCTCCCCCCTTCGCAGCCCCCCCCTCATCCCTGCTCCGTTCCCCGTTCATGGGAAGGTGCCATCGCAACAGTTTGATGCTTCGTCGTTTCCCAGCGCCTTCGCGCGTAAAAAACATCATTTCTTCTTCACTCCTGCGCACAAGTTTGTAAGCGCATCGGCCGATCGCGGTGTCAGCAGGCACCAGGGATATCAGAAAAATGAGCCGATCGCCCGTCCGGGCCTCGAGGTACTCCCTGCTGAAGCAAACGATGATGTATTGTTTTGCCGGGGAAGCGTCCGGAACAAAGCGCATGGCGCGAAACGCCAATGCTTTCTCGTACGTGTATATGTATGTCTGTCTGTATGTATGTATGTATGTATTTATGTATGTATGTATGTGTGTGCATTTATATATATATATACACATGTAGATGCACATTTCAAATCTACGTATCTAGGCGCACATATACACGTGTACCGAAGTCTTCATATTTCTACATCTAGAGACAGAGCGAAAGAGAGAGAGAGAGAGAGAGAGAATGAGAGAGGGAGAGAGAGAGAGAGAGAGAGAGAGGGAGAGAGAGAGAGAGAATGACAGAGAAAGAGAGATCGGACAAGTAGGCGGACCAGGGTCCGTCCGCGAGGCGCACTGCGGTGCGACAACTCGCATGCACTATTTGCGGCGGTGCAGCCTTTAGATACGAGGGCGGGCAACAAAAACCCCCTCCCCCGGCGCAGTGCGACAGACGCTACAGACGGCGGACAGACGATGATGATCTCGCCTGTCAGACCGCGTGAGGAAAAAAGGCCCCAACAAGAAAGGCGACGTGCTGGCACGTGGCTAGGCGGCTTGGCGGACCGCCTGTTGGGCGCTTGGCCGCTAAGCGGCGCGCAGTGACGGGGCACCCCCCGCCCCCACGCCCTGACACCGTGGACGCGGAGCCACGCGTACACACGGGCAGGCAGAAAGGAGGAGATTAGCGCGGGGCACCGGGTGGAGCGCCGCGGACCGATGACAACATAGCTTGGATGTTGAGTGACGGCACGGCACCATCGGGCGAGGCCGTGAGCAGCTCGGCGAAGGCTCGCCCAGCACTGTGGAGGCGCTGGAGTAGAGGGCCTTGACGAGATTGGGCGGCGGCGAGGTCCGCGGCGAGATCTAAGCACCTCTGCTGGAGGGCAGCCATAGCCTGTGACAGCTCGGTTTCGCGGTCGGTGAGGGGTGGCTGCTCAGTGCCAGCAGCCGAGGGCCTCGAGACAGAGGCGAGGTCCTCGGTACACCTGTCCATATGGTGGACTAGCGTAGTGCGGGACCCTGTACGCTGATGTCCGTCACCCTTGAAGGGTGACTGGAGGGGCCGGCGCGACCCCAGGGCTGGAGCCGCTAGGGCCGCGCCCCGAGAGGTCAGGGGAGCCGCTTCCTCTCGCTCAGCAACGAAGGGAGCGTGGATGGGGCACGAGGGCCTGTCTGGTTTAGTACCCTGCGGGGGGGCTGAAGCCGCCCCCGCTGGCTGCCGGCGGTGGGGAGGCGGAGTGGTTTGCGCGGTGGGACCAGTCGTGATGCCGTGCAAGGCCGCTGAGGTCGGTCGCGTAGACGGTTGGCGTCTCGGTGGGGCGGCATGGTCGGCAGCGTGTGGTATCGGCGGTGCGTCCTCAATGCCACTCAGTCCTCGGGGGTCGCCCAGGTCATGGTCGGCGTCTTGGCGGTGGCCGATGTCATCGTATGTGGGCGTTATCGCTCTTGGGGACGGAGTCGCAGTGGGGGTCGAGAGGTTTCCCGACAGGGCAGGGTTTTCGCTGGCTGGTCCGTCGTCCAAAGCGTCCGATCCCCCACCGAAGCTGAACAGGTCATCGTCCTGCTCATCAGCGTTTTGAAAAGGAACGGTGTTGTCGTGTGGGTGCGCTGCCGCACTCAATGGCGGAGTCGGGGGCGCCGTGCGGGTGCCCGACGGGGCAGGGTTGGCGCTGGCTGGCCCGTCGCCCAGGAAGTCCAGGCCTCCACCATAGCCGAACGGGTCGTCCTCCTGTTCGTCGAATAACACCCGTTGGGCCTCGGCCCAGAGCTCGTCGGGGTCTTGTGGGATGTCTGGTCCAGCCGCGGGTGGTGCCTGGTCAGACAGCAGGGGATTTGGTTCCATTTTGTTTAGTTCCGCAGCTGTGAACCAGCCCTGCGGTGTGGGAGGGGGAGTGTACGGTGTCTACGCTCGTAGATGGCGACAGCGACTCCATGAAGCACGGTCGCTTGGCGATGTCGTGATTTGGCAGCTTCGACGATGTCGTCTGGAAGGTTATGAGTACGTGCCGCCGCTGTGGCGAGGGCGTCAGCCTGACGATTGAACTCCTCCGCGATGGGCCCGATGAGCCCGAGGTCGATGCCCATGTCGCCCTGGTGGCTAGAGACTTTCTCGACGCGGAACATGTTGGGCTTGGCCATGACGCATCGGTGGATCTTTTTTTTTAGACCTTTTTTTTTTTTTTTTCTTTTTTTTTTTTTTTTTTTTTTTTTCTTTTTTTTTTTTTTTTTTTTTTGTTTTTTTTTTTTTTTTTTTTTTTTTTTGTTTTGTTTTTTCCCAGAGCTCCACGTGCGTGCCCTGCGGTGGTAAGTGTCCGTCGACGATCCTTTGGAGACCGTCAACCACCGCCTGGTTGTCCACAAAAACGTGTACGGGCCGTTCGGCACATGCCGTGAGGTGGACAATGGCGAGGGTCTCCGCAAGCTGTGCGTTCTGCGTGATGCCGTGAACGCGTGCACTGTAGTTCATGCGGTGGTCGATGCCGTAGTAGACGCCGTAGCCCGCTCTTGCAAGCAATGGGATGGCTTGGTTGGTGCATGCACCGTCCGTGGCAGCGTAGACCATGTCCAACCAGTGTCATGGTCAAGGTAGGTGGTGTAGGAGTCCTGGGCTGAAGCCGCAGGATCTCCCTCAGGTGGGGGCCGCGGTATGGGCTGAGGTAGCGGGTCACTCGCGAGGTCGGCCTGCAGGTCGAGGAGGGCTGGGTCTTCATCGAAGAGCCCGCAGTGTCTTGTGTGCGGTGGAAGACGGGCCCACTGCTCGTCACTGATGAGGGTGGTAAGAGGGACTCTTTCGCGGGCCCAGCACTT